TTAGCTGTACGCTGCACCTGCAATGCGCGTGTTGAAGTTGCAAATACATTAATAGGTAATGCAATGCGTAAAGAAAGATGTTCGCTTGCATTGTGAAGATGTTTACAGCTATTTTCCATACCAATAACGTTTTAGCTGTTACACGCGTCATTTACCTTAACCAAAGACGTTTCAAGGAAAATGTGAACCAATAAAAACTTAATCGTCTTAATATTTTAATTCAAACTTTCCTAATTTTTTTTTATTATCCTGCCCTTATATTTTTCGGGCTGAGTGCATAACGCGAAAATGCTACCACGGACAAGTGGTTCCAAGTTCACTGTTTAGTTCTCCTGAGTAAAGAAAAAAAAAAGTGTCGAACTATAATCTAGACACGATTAACTTCTTTACATCGATAATGATGTAAACATTTTGTTACCAAAGCTAAGAGTTTTATTAACTGTACGCTGCACCTGCAATGCGCGTATTGAAGTTGCAAATACATTAATAGGTAATGCAATGCGTAAAGAAAGATGTTCGCTTGCATTGTGAAGATGTTTACAGCTATTTTCCATACCAATAACGTTTTAGCTGTTACACGCGTCATTTACCTTAACCATAGACGTTTCAAGGAAAATGTGAACCAATAAAAACTTAATCGTCTTAATATTTTAATTCAAACTTTCCTAATTTTTTTTTATTATCCTGCCCTTATATTTTTCGGGCTGACAGCATAACGCGAAAATGCTACCACGGACAAGTGGTTCCCAGTTCTCTCTTTAGTTCTCCTGAGTAAAGAAAAAAAAAGTGTCGAACTATAATCTAGACACGATTAACTTCTTTACATTGATAATGATGTAAAGATTTTGTTACCAAAGCTAAGAGTTTTATTAGCTGTACGCTGCACCTGCAATGCGCGTGTTGAAGTTGCAAATACATTAATAGGTAATGCAATGCGTAAAGAAAGATGTTCGCTTGCATTGCGAAGATGTTTACAGCTATTTGCAATACCAATAACGTTTTAGGTGTTACACGCGTCATTTACCTTAACCATAGACGTTTCAAGGAAAATGTGAACCAATAAAAACTTAATCGTCTTAATATTTTAATTCAAACTTTCCTAATTTTTTTTTATTATCCTGCCCTTATATTTTTCGGGCTGACAGCATAACGCGAAAATGCTACCACGGACAAGTGGTTCCCAGTTCTCTCTTTAGTTCTCCTGAGTAAAGAAAAAAAAGTGTCGAACTATAATCTAGACACGATTAACTTCTTTACATTGATAATGATGTAAACATTTTGTTACCAAAGCTAAGAGTTTTATTAACTGTACGCTGCACCTGCAATGCGCGTATTGAAGTTGCAAATACATTAATAGGTAATGCAATGCGTAAAGAAAGATGTTCGCTTGCATTGCGAAGATGTTTACAGCTATTTGCAATACCAATAACGTTTTAGGTGTTACACGCGTCATTTACCTTAACCATAGACGTTTCAAGGAAAATGTGAACCAATAAAAACTTAATCGTCTTAATATTTTAATTCAAACTTTCCTAATTTTTTTTTATTATCCTGCCCTTATATTTTTCGGGCTGACAGCATAACGCGAAAATGCTACCACGGACAAGTGGTTCCCAGTTCTCTCTTTAGTTCTCCTGAGTAAAGAAAAAAAAAGTGTCAAACTATAATCTAGACACGATTAACTTCTTTACATTGATAATGATGTAAACATTTGGTTACCAAAGCTAAGAGTTTTATTAGCTGTACGCTGCACCTGCAATGCGCGTGTTGAAGTTGCAAATACATTAATAGGTAATGCAATGCGTAAAGAAAGATGTTCGCTTGCATTGTGAAGATGTTTACAGCTATTTTCCATACCAATAACGTTTTAGCTGTCACACGCGTCTTTTACCTTAACCAAAGTCGTTTCAAGGAAAATGTGAACCAATAAAAACTTAATCGCCTTAATATTTTAATTCAAACTTTCCTAATTTTTTTTTATTATCCTGCCCTTATATTTTTCGGGCTGACAGCATAACGCGAAAATGCTACCACGGACAAGTGGTTCCCAGTTCTCTCTTTAGTTCTCCTGAGTAAAGAAAAAAAAATGTCGAACTATAATCTAGACACGATTAACTTCTTTACGTTGATAATGATGTAAACATTTTGTCTCCAAATGTCACAGTTTTATTAGCTGTACGCAGCACCTGCAATGCGCGTGTTGAAGTTGCAAATACACTAATAGGTATTGCGCAAAAAAAGATGTTCGCTTGCATTGCGAAGATGTTTACAGCTATTTGCCGTACCAATAACATTTTAGCTATTACACGCGTCATTTACCTTAACCAAAGACGTTTCAAGGAAAACGTGAACCAATAAAAACTGAATCGCCCTAATATTTTAATTCAAACTTTCCTAATTTTTTTATTATCCTGCCCTTATATTTTTCGGGCTCAGTGCATAACGCGAAAATGCTACCACGGACAAGTGGTTCCCAGTTCACTGTTTAGTTCTCCTGAGTAAAGAAAAAAAAAGTGTCGAACTATAATCTAGACACGATTAACTTCTTTACATCGATAATGATGTAAACATTTTGTTACCAAAGCTAAGAGTTTTATTAACTGTACGCTGCACCTGCAATGCGCGTATTGAAGTTGCAAATACATTAATAGGTAATGCAATGCGTAAAGAAAGATGTTCGCTTGCATTGCGAAGATGTTTACAGCTATTTGCAATACCAATAACGTTTTAGGTGTTACACGCGTCATTTACCTTAACCATAGACGTTTCAAGGAAAATGTGAACCAATAAAAAGTTAATCGTCTTAATATTTTAATTCAAACTTTCCTAATTTTTTTTTATTATCCTGCCCTTATATTTTTCGGGCTGACAGCATAACGCGAAAATGCTACCACGGACAAGTGGTTCCCAGTTCTCTCTTTAGTTCTCCTGAGTAAAGAAAAAAAAAGTGTCGAACTATAATCTAGACACGATTAACTTCTTTACATTGATAATGATGTAAACATTTTGTTACCAAAGCTAAGAGTTTTATTAGCTGTACGCTGCACCTGCAATGCGCGTGTTGAAGTTGCAAATACATTAATAGGTAATGCAATGCGTAAAGAAAGATGTTCGCTTGCATTGTGAAGATGTTTACAGCTATTTTCCATACCAATAACGTTTTAGCTGTTACACGCGTCATTTACCTTAACCAAAGACGTTTCAAGGAAAATGTGAACCAATAAAAACTTAATCGTCTTAATATTTTAATTCAAACTTTCCTAATTTTTTTTTATTATCCTGCCCTTATATTTTTCGGGCTGAGTGCATAACGCGAAAATGCTACCACGGACAAGTGGTTCCAAGTTCACTGTTTAGTTCTCCTGAGTAAAGAAAAAAAAAAGTGTCGAACTATAATCTAGACACGATTAACTTCTTTACATCGATAATGATGTAAACATTTTGTTACCAAAGCTAAGAGTTTTATTAACTGTACGCTGCACCTGCAATGCGCGTATTGAAGTTGCAAATACATTAATAGGTAATGCAATGCGTAAAGAAAGATGTTCGCTTGCATTGTGAAGATGTTTACAGCTATTTTCCATACCAATAACGTTTTAGCTGTTACACGCGTCATTTACCTTAACCATAGACGTTTCAAGGAAAATGTGAACCAATAAAAACTTAATCGTCTTAATATTTTAATTCAAACTTTCCTAATTTTTTTTTATTATCCTGCCCTTATATTTTTCGGGCTGACAGCATAACGCGAAAATGCTACCACGGACAAGTGGTTCCCAGTTCTCTCTTTAGTTCTCCTGAGTAAAGAAAAAAAAAGTGTCGAACTATAATCTAGACACGATTAACTTCTTTACATTGATAATGATGTAAACATTTTGTTACCAAAGCTAAGAGTTTTATTAGCTGTACGCTGCACCTGCAATGCGCGTGTTGAAGTTGCAAATACATTAATAGGTAATGCAATGCGTAAAGAAAGATGTTCGCTTGCATTGTGAAGATGTTTACAGCTATTTTCCATACCAATAACGTTTTAGCTGTTACACGCGTCATTTACCTTAACCAAAGACGTTTCAAGGAAAATGTGAACCAATAAAAACTTAATCGTCTTAATATTTTAATTCAAACTTTCCTAATTTTTTTTTATTATCCTGCCCTTATATTTTTCGGGCTGACAGCATAACGCGAAAATGCTACCACGGACAAGTGGTTCCCAGTTCTCTCTTTAGTTCTCCTGAGTAAAGAAAAAAAAAGTGTCGAACTATAATCTAGACACGATTAACTTCTTTACATTGATAATGATGTAAACATTTTGTTACCAAAGCTAAGAGTTTTATTAGCTGTACGCTGCACCTGCAATGCGCGTGTTGAAGTTGCAAATACATTAATAGGTGATGCAATGCGTAAAGAAAGATGTTCGCTTGCATTGTGAAGATGTTTACAGCTATTTTCCATACCAATAACGTTTTAGCTGTTACACGCGTCATTTACCTTAACCAAAGACGTTTCAAGGAAAATGTGAACCAATAAAAACTTAATCGTCTTAATATTTTAATTCAAACTTTCCTAATTTTTTTTTATTATCCTGCCCTTATATTTTTCGGGCTGACAGCATAACGCGAAAATGCTACCACGGACAAGTGGTTCCCAGTTCTTTTTCTAGTTCTCCTGAGTAAAGAAAAAAAACTGTCCAACTATAATCCAGACACGATTCACTTCTTTATATTGATAATGATGTAAACATTTTGTCTCCAAAGCTAACAGTTTTATTATCTGTACGCAGCACCTGCAATGCGCGTGTTGAAGTTGCAAATACATTAATAGGTAATGCAATGCGCAAAGAAAGATGTTCGCTTGCATTGCGAAGATGTTTAGAGCTATTTGCCATACCAATAACGTTTTAGCTGTTACACACGTCATTTACCTTAAATATGGACGTTTCAACGAAAATGTGAACCAATAAAAGCTTAAATAAATGTGTGCTTTCAAAAATATTTGGTCACCTGTGCGACGCCGTTCCAGACTTTTTCCTTCGCCAAGGCACCATTGATTGCAGTGACCACGGAATCAGCCATATCTCGAGTCTTATTGCCAAGCTCTTGCTTGGGAATTGTTTCGATTCTCGCATTCATAATCTCTTCTAAGGCTGTGGCGACGTACTTAAGGTCACTGTGCGTCTTGATGCCGTTGCTGATGCCTGCCAGTCGGTCGATCATGGCTGAAAAATTTCCCTCGCTCTAGGGATGAGAACAAACACAATAAGACGTTTGACATAGTACGTCTACACATCTTGCGACATGCAGTTTATTCTAGTTATCTGAGTAGTACAGCGAAATAATAATTTCTGATGTCATAAAAGAAAATAAATTTAGACGAGAAGCAGTCCTGATGAGCGTGAGCAGCTAGTAGGAATTTTTAAAAAGAAACCTCGCTGTAATAGTTAAGATGGCAGTCGACGGTTTGTTAACTCTAGCTTACCCCAAAGAGACCCAGTAGTTTAGCGAAGCGTCGGTTGCCATTCCTATGTTAGGAGCAGGTTTTTGCTAAACAAGTAAGCGAAATTTTAAATATCTTTATTACGATTTCATCCGCAGACTTTAGAGCGTCATCAAAAATTCAATTTGTAATTTTTAATAATAATTCACCTAGAACTCAAGCCACATTGCTCTTTTTTAATATTTTATGCCGGAACAACATTTTTGAGGCACATGTATTTATGAAAACTAACTTTTGATGATCATCATGAATCTCTTGGCATTACAGAAACATTGATATTGATTTCCGAGCCAAAACATGCCGCTTGTAGCATCTTATGAGTTGTGCCAACGTCTGAGTCAAAGATCCTTGCCAGTATCTGTCGTTGTACAAGAAGGGCCAAAGGGATAGGGGGAAATTCCCAACGTGTGACCAGAACTGATTCTTATGTCCAAACACTCAAGCCTTAGACGTTGACAGACTTTCTACGTATTAAAAAAATAACTGGAACAAAAACAGACTTGACTCAAAAACAACGAGGCAAGGTTCGGCTTAAGGAGAGAAGAGACGGCCATCTCGCAGCTGCAGCCTCGCTCATCTAAGTTTTCTATATATTCATACATTGAACAAACTAGATGATGGCATTCTACATGCATCCGTGGCCGACAATATGAGGATCCCATCTGCCAAATTTAATGTACTTTTACACAGATCCGTTGCTGTTATTTTAGCTTGTTATGTCGTTTGGCGAACTCACATGACAGGTGACCTAGATAAACTGCAAGTTGTCCAGAGACGGGTCATACGGTTCATATGTAATCAGTATGGCCGTAGTTTTCCCCCTAATATGAAAGGAAACATCTGATCCTTCAGCTGCTCTCGTCTAGGCGAGTCGCTGACCACGTAAATGTTATATCAAAGTGAAACAAATGATTATTGCATCCCCTTTACCCGTTACTCGTCATTTAAAGAATCACGTTCAACTAGAAGTTACCTTCACCTCAACATTGTCCTATACTTCTGTTCACTGCACTGTTTTAGATACTATACTTTCCCGACTGTATCGATATTGGCAATAAACTCCCGCGAAGGGTTAAAGAGCACGAACTAGGAAACTTTATTTATGAAGTTAACAGGGTATTGTAAAATATGTTCGATGCTTACGTTGTGCTTTCTGTATTTACCATTAAGGGTGCCAGTGCTGTTGATACAGCGCTATTATTCCGCTTTATGTGTTGTATGTGCAGATGTCCCATCGACCTCGAATTTAAATTGGGGAGGATATTGTTTTGTTTCCCGTACCTTCTATAACCTTGTAAAATGTTGCAATAATTTGAAATAAATAAATAAGTGACTGCGGAAATCCACGGATAGTCCGCATGTGTGTAGGACTCCACAAATATTGCTTCAGATGAATCTTCAAGCAGAACGCATATTTTTGCATTATCTTGGTATAATGAGAAGTGTAATGCACACCCGTGAGCGATATGAAGGTGAGAAGCCCTTTCTTGTTTTTGACGCTCCTGCAAGTTTTGGAACAAGCTCTGTTCCGATAGAGGGCTAGAACGCAAAGTTTCGACCCCAAAGCCACGTACCATTTAAGACGTTGAGAGTTAATATAGCTTTAGGGAGCCGTAAAACAGGCAAGAAGCCAGGTAAGGTGTTCACCTTCCTATAGCCAGCGGGTGTACGCGCTATTTATACAATAAATATTTAAAATGATGCTATGGCGACAATCTGTTTAATGCATCCTTATTGGTTCAATAACTGAAGCATGTAAGGCAAACTGTGCGGAGCTCTAATTGCCTTGAAGCGACACAGTTTTACCCTTATAAACCTCTTCGTGTTTTTGACAAGGCGCTCTCACTGGTGAGGAAACAATGATAGAATATGTTTTACACATCTTTAAGTCTGTAAAATAATCCCAGTGGCGTTTAGTTTTCTCACATCGCTCGAAATGGGCTTTATAAGTATTGCATTTTACTCCTAAAAAGTGTACCTGCGGATGCTGCTAAGATAGCGGTCAGGAACTGCCGTATATATTATAATCGTCGCTAACTTTTTTTTTTATAAATAACTTTTTGAGGTGCAGCGCACTTGATGCATACAAAAAACTGCTTGGTTCAGTGGCGCCACCATCGTGTTATTTCTAGTAGTTTTTGTTTTGTGTAGTTATGCCAGCTAGATCAAGAAAAATATATCAACGTACCATTATAGAATATGCGGTGTCTTTGAAGGAACGGGACACGCACTCGGTATCATTAACAAGCCCCCACTGTCCATCTTCTTCGCACGTTCTGCTCATCTTGGCTGAGTGAGTTTATGAAGGGAATTAAAAGAACGGTTATATACAAAGCGTTTCGCGACAATTTGAACGAAGTGGAAACAAAAGGTCACCGTAAGATATTTTTTTAGGGTGTAGGCTTTTGAATGCACACTAGAACCGCCAAATAGTGTTTCATACATTCAAAAATTACAATAATGAGTGATAAAACCAGCTGAACGCCTGAAGCTATATCAAGAAAAAGCAAGGAAATGCTCGACTAACATATGTACATTATTAAGAACGTTGTTTCTTCTCTTCTACTTTGTATTCTCAACACTCATGTGTAAATTTCTAAAAGCCGTTTCCTTGCTTCGTTTTTCTATTTAGTGCAGTGTTTATTTGTTTTTCTATCTATTTGGCTACAAACGTTCAACTGGTTTTACCTCTAATAATGACCCGATTAGGTCAGATCCAACCCTTCAAAATAATGCTCTGGCCTATAAATAAAGAGTCGTTGATTAATGCTTATTGTGCACTGTTGATAAGTAGGTCGGAATGAGTTTTCAGCCGAGCATTCGAATGATTGTCCAGGTAGATATAGTTAAAGGGTCACTAAACTACTTTCTCCGACAGTCAATTTATAGTCATAACGCAATCTATGGAGAATAGGCATTGTAAAACAAACATTACATTCACGCGTGGCCCAGTCTTAATCGGTCGGCATCCCGATCGTAAGGAAGCGACGAAGGGAAAGTCTTCCTGTCGTCTGCTTCAAACAATTGTTTTCACACATTACTAGCATCACACGAAATCCCACTTTGGCAGCATACAATTGCTACGAGTAATGTTGGGTGGTTCTAGAAACTTCCACCGCGCTTACACACTTGCTTCACGCATCGCCAATCACTCTTGGCGGTCGTCAGTGGCATCCCCTACGCCAACCACGATGGCTATGGGAATTAACCACGTCACACCTCCGTTCTCAGGTACGAGACAGCACCATTCCACCCGGATTGCCGACCGTGCTACAGCCATCGCTTTCGTTTCTTGGCACATTGATGGCGAAAAAGGTTTTCTTTAGAGTGCTTAGTCCCCGTTGATAGAATTACGGGCATGAACTACCGCGGAATGGGGTTTATCGCCCCTTTATGGTAAGTTTACGTCGGCCGCCATCTAGAGCTTCACAGGTAATTTTGGAGTTGTATATAGTAAGTAAACTTCATTCCAGAATATTTTCTGGCCTACCCCTTTGTTGAATTTTATTAAGGTTTCTAAGGTATCAGAGATGGCGGACGTAGATATTTATTTATCCAGTGCATGAAGATTTCTATAGAAAGGAAGCACTTTTAACCAGTTCAATAGTCTTTGCGAAGTAAAGGTCATTTTTGTGGCCTGCCGTTGTAGCACGATATGATATATTGGTGTGTTTTGGACGGGCTCCTTAAAAAGGTACTCCGGCGTTTTCTTCATAGCCGCGGATTTGCCAGCAAGTTTGCTAAGCACATAAAAAGACGCCGTTGAAATAGTAACACAAATATCGGGCCAAAAATGTTTTTTTTTCTCGCAAAGTTATAGAACTTACAATTTTGGTCCTCACCGTGTTTTTCAAAGTGAAAAACGCTACTGGGAACAATAAAAAGTGACGTCACTGGAAGGCTGGGGTTCACTCTTTAGACTTTGTTCCCAACTAATTACTCGTACAATCAGTCCATGATGTCAAATTAATTCTTTGGAAGCTCACTCCAGCACCCGCGCACCAGCACGAAACAAATGCTCGGCGTAATCCATTTTTTAACTGCCCACTCGACCTACTAGCCTGCCTTCCCCTGACGTGACGGCTCTGTAAAGCTCGGGTATATTTGAATGTTGCTTTTGGCATCAATTTCACTTGCTGATTACGCGATGTTTTTTTTTTGTTTTTTTCTGATTTTGCGATACCGAAACTGAAACCATACCGAAACGGCAAATGAGCAGTAATTTTAAAAATATAGTTAGTTGGGCTAGATGATGACAATAAACTAAAGGGTCCTTACTTGCGGAGGCAAATAACGCCCGTTAGTTTCAAATTTTAGTTTTGGCTAAAGATTCACATGTTATGAATCTCTGCCACATTGACAAGCACGCTAGTTCCTAAATAATTGAGTATTTACAAAAAATTGGTGCTGTCCGTTTTACTTTCTATAAGCTTTAGAAAGTTTTAAAACTGTCATACGATTTGTTCAGTACAATAGAAAGTGCCTCGAGGAATTTCGTGATGGGTCCGGCGTTTCGAGGTGACCGTGGTTTAGAGAAGGCTTGCATAACACATACTTTATGTACTATAGCAAACAAGGTTGGCTGGGCACTTAAGGAAGGTCGCGTAGTAGCCCGCCACATAGCAAAAGCAAAATAATTTGGCATCGATCCTGACAAAGATTCCTTCGTTTCCCCGTTTTCTGGAATTAGAACTGAAATGTGGCCAAATACCAATGCTTAATGGGGAGGAGATTCAACCGGTGCGCCTATAGCGGCTAACTTGATAGCCAAGCCCATGAGGACAACATGGAATATTTGTTTGTGTATTTGACACAGCGATTGGCAGCGGTCGCCGTGTTCCATCGGTGAGGCGCCGATTAAACACGACTCCCCTCCTAACTATGACGTGCATCTTGTTTCCAAACTGGCCAGCGCTTGTTCGAGAAAAATTACGTAAAGCATCCAATCTAGAGGACTGGCGTTAAGTACACGTCGAGGTCTGTGGAAATAAAGCTCAAAAAGCGCCCCCTATTGCTCAATCTGCTCGACAATAGGCGACGATAACGTGGCCATGCTTTTTCTACTTATGGGGCATTTCAAAGGGTTTCAAAGAAGGTTGATACAAAAATAATTAATGTGTTGTGCTTACGTTTTTGGGACAGCAATGTGTCTTTCATCCCGTATTCCGTCGTGAGCTCTACAAAGGGCGATTTACTTTCCAGATCCTCGTCGCTTACATTTTTGAACCCCATTGCGAACGGACGTCCCGGAGCCCAAAGCTCGGTCCGCATCTCGGGTGCTTTGAAAACAAATGTAAAATTTAAAAATAAGTAAAGAAAAAATATGAATGTCAGGTTAAATGACTTACCTGACCGGGGAAAAATGCATTAACACAGCAGGAATGAATGAAGTTTAGTAACTCTTTTTAAAGAGATTAAATTTATAAAAAGAGAAGTGGAAGGAATAATAATAATAACGGCAGCCATTGTAGATGGTCTTATCGAAAAATGGCGCAACCTGGCTGCCAGCATTGTCTACTCATCATGCTAAACGATGAATTGTTGTCGCGTTAAACAATAACCCAGAAAACGCCAGTGAAATCTATGGCAACTTTAAACGCCGAACTGTAGAAAGTGACATAGCAGATAATTTTTAAAGAAAAATATTGGTGGAAATGACGGACTATGCAGCATCGGGTTCCTCTCTGACGCTTATAACGTTCTGCGTATATTACATACAAAAATATATTTAAAGACTGTAATAAAGTAAATTTATTGTGTTAGCACTAAAGGCACAATATTAGCGGCTCAGCTGAAAAGAGGAGTGATTCGTAAATAACGGTATATGTGGACGATAGTGGTAACTTGCCGAACTTTGCCAAAAGCATCAAAAGGACACAGCATGTCTTCTGCCATCTGTCGGGAATCGGACGCCTGACTACTTGCTATTTTGTTGCTTCTAAATACACTGAACTAGGACTTGTATGTGACACTCTAAAAACAAAATAGTCCATCTAATGAATGAAACAAATGCAGCAATAAAAAAAAGTTGGGCTGTTTACCTTTAATAATGTTTTGCAAAGTTTAGAAATTTTGAAGTGTGACCTATTTAAAATACCTTACAACTTTGACAACGGCGGAGATCTCAAACTTAGCCGTTTATACTATATACAAATTAAATGTTTTATCTTTAAAATAAAATATGTTAATTACATTTCAATGAGCTAGTGTTTCGAAAATTCAGCTAATTCCGAAGGGACTTTTTTTTTTAAACCTAATTTTTGTTGTTTCCAGTTTTATTAGTAGCAAGGTAATATTATGGTTTATCAGCGAACATAAACAAAACATTTTATTTTTGTATGACCGCAATAAAAGCTTGAATATTGTCAGTTGTTCGCTGTGCCCGAGTCCTCGCATAGGTGCTGTTCTGACCAACATTGTGGCGTGGAGTTAGCACATATCCTTAAACATAAGTTTAATTGTGCATATTGCGAAGTAAAAAAATATATTTTTCGCCCTAAATGTGCGAAGAAATGAAAGCGATAGCTGTAGCATGGTCGCGCTATGCGGGTGGACTGGCGCCGTCACGTACCTAAGGATGGATGTGCGACGTGGTTAATTCTAATGCCCGTCGTAGTTGGCGTCGATGATGCCACTGACAACCGCCACGAGTAGTGGGTGATGCGTGATGTAAGCGGGTAAGCACGGTGGAAGTTTTTACAACCATCAAACGTTACGAGTAGCAACTCCGTACTGCCAAAGTGAGATCTGCCATAACGCGAGTAACGTTTGAAAACAAGTGTTCGAAGCAGACGACAGGAAGACTCTCCCTCCGCCGCGTCGTTAGCTCCCCTCTCTTCCCCTCTTGGCACTGTGCGGCTGACGGGAAAACCTGACTTCCCTCTCCTCGCGTCCAGGGGGGAGAGAAAGAGAGTTTCTCCTTTCCTCTTGTCGCGCCAAGAGGGAAAGAAGAAAGGTTTTTCCATAGCGGCGACGAGAGCCCACGAGCTGGAAATCTCTGGAAAGTAGCGCACCTAAAGCTATCACTTTAAAGGCATATTACTCTGCAAAAGGCTTGCCATTTCACTACGCACATCTGGCAAGGTTCAACCTTTAATTTCAATGAAACAAACAATATATTACGTCGTATATTTATATTTTCTAATAAACCACTATTATATTCGTACCTTGCTACTAAAAAAAGTTAAGCAGACAAAAATGAAGGTTTCTGAGAAAATGGATCCTGAACTTTTTACACTTTTTAAACATTCATACATTCAAACATTTAACAATTTTTTTGAATACATAATATTTAATTTGTATTAATTTAAAAATTCTGGTTATTTTTTTTTCTGGGGGGGGGGGCAATGTCGAGGTCATTAAAATATCTCATTTTGGTCAGACGCAAAAACGTGTAAATTTTGCTGAAAAACATGAGAGGAAGAGTTGGAAATTAAACAAACTATTCCAAAACGTACGATTTCTTAAAATTTATTAAGCCAAATGAAATCGACTTCGAGAGCGTCACACCTTAGTGATTTTTTTGTTCGCTTTTGAGAAATGAGAAAATAGCGAGCGGGCTAACTTGGAATCTCCGACCGGTTTCATCGGCCACCGCTTGACTCGGCTACTTCAATGGTCAGTAACTCGAAGGCTAAAAATCTGTCAAGCTTGCCCTTCGCGCCCTTTTTCTCTTCAAGAGTTCTAAAAAAGCATGTGTTTCCACAAAAGTTTTAAATCAGACCCCCAATTTGTACAAGAATTTACATGAAAACACGCAAACATTTTTGTAAATTGAAACAATAAAATCAAAACTGTAATTCGGAGTTCATTTCGTTTACCAAAATGAATATAAAATTGCAAACCAAATAGCAGAAAATAGCAAAAAAGCAAACTATTCACAAGACAACTTGCCGGTTCACACCACTGCGCTACATTACTACGATTATTATATTTTGTTTGCGTCAGGATAAAAAAGAACGTGCATACTTAATTAGAAACAGTCGTTTTCTACAAAGGACACAAAGATAGCCAACAGCCTTTGCAGTTTACGTTAACATTACTTTTTTTTTTGCACAGATACAGCTAAGGAACATAAAAGCAAGATGCATTAATGTTTAAATACGCCAGTTCAGATATCCTGGACAGAAGTAGCCGGTGACATTAAAGCAAGGAATACATTTTTCCCACGCAACAGCAGACGAAAACTGAAAAATCACTTGCAGAATTTGTCATAAACTAAACAAAACAAACTAAAATTAATGTTAATAATAAACGTAAGTGCGGAAACGTCATGCTAAACATTATAGGCTTTCAGCAAGATTTTTTTTCTGGATTGGTTAATTTGCGTGCTAGTTTGATCGCGTTAAATAAGCCTTCTAGAAACAAAAAAATCTTCTCAGGTGCGTGCAATTGTTTTTTAGACTTCCAGGCTTGTCGCGAAAGCTCAATCTCATAATCTCATTCGGGATAGCTGAGAATCACCACTCACCTGTATCGGACCTCGCACAGGATCGCACCACGCGCAGCCCACGAGGTGTGCGGGGCCACAAGGCGTCGTACTCCTTCTTGGCGGGGCAGTACAAGCTCTCCGGACCACTTCCGAAGTCATCTAGGAGGATCATGAGATGAACCTAGTTAGAGGCGCAGCATTTGTCTACAGTGACGCACGGGACATTTCTCAGGACTTTGAGATAGACTGTATTTGGAAGCGCACTCTTATAGGTCCGTGAGCTCGTACTACAAGGCTGCACAGTCGGAAAAGCAACCTTTAGCCGCTCTTTCACGAGTTCAGCAAATGAAAAACGAAGCTGTGCTTGTGCTGTGCTTCGGCGCAGACTACATCGAGATGCGATCTTCTCTAAGTATATATTGCGGGTTCGCTGTGGCGCTTCGAGCACGGCTGTACTCAGCATGTCGCCGCTTCTATTCAGCTATCGGCCCTTTTGTCCGCTCCATCCGTTTGCCAGGCATTGTGGTGATTGCGGCACATCTAGCGAGCGTCTCGTCTCGAGTCATTGCGTGCGCGCGCTAAGAAGAAGAGGACAGGATGTGTACTTTACTCTCCCGTGGACGCGCTTGCGCTTCTATATGAAACCGTATTCTTTTTCCGAGGAGGGAGACATAAAGAAATGCTACCGAATTTACAAAGACGAGTGTCACCATTGCATCTGGCCATGCGCTCTCAGCGAAAACATGGGTGGACGCTTTTGCTTCAAGTAGAATTAAAAAAAACCTGAGACGGAGTATTGTTCGAGCTTCTTATTCACCAAGATAATGAAAAAAAAAGTGTTCCCGTAAAATTCCAGGGAAGCATCGATAAAGCAGCATCTATGTGCGCGGAAGAGGTTGGTCAAGAAGTTAGATTCTTGGCGCTACTTTATGATCCATCTGCCACTGAAAATTTTTGAAGATGTCTTTGTTCTGCTACCGAGGCTAGAGGTAATAAATGCAAGATAATTTCAACAAACAAACGCTCACGCCCGGAAACAAAAAAGGCGAGGGTCCCTCACGCGCAGGTGAAAAATATCACGAAGTTTATGATAGTAGGTGTTTATGCACGAAGATATCAATAAAACAAAACTGTTGGAAAAGGAATGGTCGAAGCAACTAGTCATGTACCCCAAAGTAGGAACATCAGCGTGACGCGTGGACCTCTTTCTTTTTTTTCCTGTATGCACTCTGCCACTGCAATCTCAAAGGGAGACATGGTTTAAATTGCTACTTTTTTTTGTTGTTTTGATTTGATTCCAAGACAGTTTAGATGTGTTGTGATGCTGGTTCCAAGAATGCAAATGATTTCTCGTTTCTTCTAAAAGAAAAGAGGTCTTAAAATCAAATCCATTTTTAGCTTATATAAAAAATAACTTTTTTATATCAAGAGAATAAAAACAACTGATAGTTAATGAGTGCGATTATGCGAAGAGATTATTAGACCAGTAATTCTAATTTTGCCTTATGGAGATATCTTTTAGTGTAAAACGCGCCACAATTTTTAAACTTTAAAATGCCGTACATTTCCGCAGCTATCGCTGTGTGCATTCAAGCAACTATTAAAAAAAACTACAGTCAAATAGTAGGTGTTTATATTTCAGGTCCAACGACACCTAGTCTAAGGTTATCACATTAAAGTAGCATTATACATCCTTTGTGAGGCCCACAAAACTTAAAATAAAAAAAGAAATGCTGAAGCTTAATAAACCACCATTTTAACTTATTTTGAGCACGAATAAAACCTACACGACGTTCAAAACTCAGTTTACATGAAAAGGAACTATGAGAGGCAAGCGAAATCTGTTTCCGCTCATATAGACTGTTTCAGATTAAGCTCCTCGCATACTATCCATCGCTCGCTCTGCTAAAATAGAAAAATGTGAGGAATTTGTGGGAAGACCTTGTGCTTCACCCTTAATTTGTCACTGATTATAGGTTATGCTCACAGGCGGACCCTAAGTCCAAGGATAATCGTAGCTGTCACCATTCCTATTAGCAAGATGTGATTAATAAAATGTCTAATTACTGTATTAGGGTCATGAATTTATATAAAAGTGTAAGGTCGCCGTTATGTAAGGCGATTCTAATTTCTGAAATTCTCCTAACCAACCCATTTCTCGAGATATGCGTCTCCAACTTCGCCGTTCGATTATACTAATTAAGCGTTAAAAATAAGAAAATAGTCGCAAACGCTCCAGTGTGACACAGGCCATTGCGTGTGACATTCTCATGGCAACGAGGCAAAGCTATTGACAGTTTCTTTCTCGCTCGTATATCAGCTTCGCCTCATTTCCCTACGAATGTTATGAGCAACGACTGACGTCACACCGGAGAGACGTTTGCGTGGGTCTTTGCAGTTTTGAACGCGTAGGTATCTGCGTTGAGTGGCAAACGTTGAAACGCACAACTCGGACGACGGGCTGGTTACAATAATAGAAAAATAACAGACTTGGTATACGGTTGCCTTGAAATTTCCAATAGAAACTTATGTCTTAATTACACTATATAAAAGCTAATTCTGAACCAGAACACTTGATTCACGCACCGCCTGTGCAATAATAAACCAATCGGAGACCGAATACGGCTTGGACCTAATGGTTTTGAGATAAGGTGGTCCTAACGAAAAGTCGCCAGCCTGAGTGTGTCTGCCTCCTTTATCCCTCTTTGCCTGGTTGCGACCCGTCGGAGCATGTGGAGGATTTGCTCCAACATGTGCTTGAGTAGACGCAAGGACGTCGTCGCCCTTTCTCAGCTTGAACTGTAAGGCCGTGGATCTTAGCGCTGGGACCGGGGACGATGTCCTTGCCTACCGGGACCACCTTCAGGTTACATGTATTTCTGGGGCACCCCAGGCAAAAATCAGTCCACTTTCAGCTGGATTATGGAGCTGGGAATGAGGCGGTCCAGCTCGAATCCAGCTGGACCACCTCGTTTCCAGTTCCATAATCCATCTGGAAGTGGACTGATTTTCGCCTGGGACCCTAGGCCGGACGACCACCAGCTCCGATTTCTGAGGTGAACAGCGAAGCCCGCATTCCCTCGTATGCTCGACGACATTGTCTGCGGCTGCCTGAAGCGTGTCCTAGATCCATCCCGAGGAACCCGCCTTCGTCGTCCAGAGCGAGATATGTTGTCGGCGTACAGTGAATGCCTCAAGCCTCCAACTGCTCCAAGCGCCTTGGGCAGGCCCAGGACGGCAATGTTAAAAATGAGAGGCGAGAAGACCGATCTCTGGGGGTCCCACTGCTTCCCAGCTCTATGAGCGGGGATACTTCTTTCCCCACTTCGATTATAGCCCGTCGATCCGTCAGAAACTCCCGCACATAGTTGTACGTCCGCTCTCCACAAACCGTGCCCTGCAGGTTAATAGGATACTGGCTTGGGAGAAGTTGTCAAATGCTCCCTTGAGTTCGGGGGCGAGGATGGCTCTGGGCGAATGCCTCGTGGCTTGCTTCATCACATTTTCCTCGAGTTGTAACAGTACGTCCTGTTTACTTAGGCGTAGTCTGAATCTGAACATTGTGTCCGGCATCTGTTTAGTGCTGTCTAGATGCCTTTGCAGTCTGTTGTACACCATCGTTTTCGTCACCTTGCCTACACATGACGTTGGGGAGATGGGTCACAGGTTGTCTATGTGCGGCGACTTGCTGGGCTTTTGAAGGAATTTCACTTCTGCCTCTTTCCAGCGGCTTGGTAACTTGCCGCTCTCCCAGGCGTTGCTCATGTGCCCAAGGAGTTCCTTTCTGGCTCCATCGCTGAAGTTGTTAAGCAGCCTGGTTTTGATGATGTCTGTCCCAGGAGCGCTGCTTTTGTTGTTCTCAGCAATGGCAAAACACAATTCCGAGCAGATAAATGGCCAGTCCATGCTGTCGTTGGGGAGACAGAGGTACGGCCCCGGCCGCTCAGCGATCTTCTAGGTCTTGAGCTACTTGTCTTGTAGATCTTTCATGAGCTTCGCCGCGTCTCCCCCGTAGTTGTTTAGGGTCCTAGTTATGTTTCGGTTTGTCTCGCCATTGCTCGTCAGCGGGTCGATAAGGTGGCGAAGGAGCTGTCAGTTCCTGCGGGCGGAGAGGCCCTCTTGCAAGCCATCGCAGAAGATGAGCCGATGTTCCTTACACAATTCCACTGCGTACTCCGACGCTTTTATGCTGAGTTCGTAGGTCTTGTTCCGCAGTTTCCTTTGTGCCTTTGGCACTTCCACCCCCTGGTTAAACTTCTGCCGGCTTCCTAGAAGTGTAGCAACCTCATGTCGTTGCACGGGGTCTGATGTGTTGTGGCCATTTTTTGTGTATATTTGTCGACCACGGCAAGCTGCTTTTCCCCCTCAGTTCTCATAAGAGCGTTCCTTAACTACCTCTACCGCCTGGGCCTTCTCCTGTTCTTCTCGCGGCTTGTCCCCGCTTGCAATTCTCGTCAGGCCCGTTCTTGCCTAGAAGGTCGGCCGTTTTATTGTGACTGCCAGTAAGTCATGATCCGACCCCAGGTTGGTCCCTGTATTCCCCCAGGAAATGTCGAGGGTCCCTGCCACGAGTGACAAATCTGACGAGATGTCCCTGGAGGGGCTCGTACCCGTACGAGTGGGGGCGTTCGGTTCGGTGAGCAGGGTAAAATTCCGTTGCTCCCCCAGGCTCACAAGTTCCCTCCCTCCCTTTGAGCAGAACCTATATCCCAATGTCGTATGAGGAGCGTTAAAGTCCTCCAGCGCGAGTAGTGGTCCTAAGCCGGCCTTTGCTATGGCACCTTTCATTGTGCCAGCCATATCCAAGCCCGAAATAGGTAGAAATGTCGCATATCTTTTGAACGTCCAGAAACTAACTTTTGAAGTTATACAGAGTTTTAACTAAATGCTTTTGCTTCGAAGAGATGTATATTTCGTCATAATACTTCTGACACCTTACTTTGATGAAAATGAGAATGTAGTATGTTGACTGATTAGAAAAAAGCTTTATTTCGTATCTCTCCGCGAGGAAACCGTGGAGCGTGAATTCGAAATCACGTTGGGCTTTAGTCGCGTTTACTTCTGCAACCCAGCTATGCATAATTGTAAACGAAATATTTATAGTTAAAGTAAGTTGGCAGGCGAGCTAGTTAAGGATAGACATAGTAACCCTGGAGCTAGTAGACAAAAAGGGACGGACAGATACGAATATTTATATAAGTTTAACGAGCTTTTAAGGATTGAGCGAGTTCTTTGCTCACAAAAATGCAACACAAACTGATGCATGTAAGCACTCCTCTTTCCTAACTTCTGTCGGTTTTGTAACATCATACTTGTATTTACTGCACACAAGGAACAACGACAATAGCTTACCTGACCTTTCTTAGATTAGCAATCCGGGCAGACATGTAGAAAATAATACAACAGTGACACACGCGTCTCAAAAGAGCGAGTCCTTATGACAAAAGTTATTATATGCTTATATTTTGTTACGATGGTTGTCGTACGCTGTTATTCTCTCCGCATCTACTAAAAAAATACGGCTGCGCTGCTACTTTAAAGGGAAACCCAAGTCCCCAAAATATTTCGAGAATTGTCTGGATATGAAGTATATATGTGAAAATACACTTGTTTCGAAAAAAAATATTTCAGCGCAGTTTTTACGCCAAGAAACTCATTTGAGCGATTCTGAAACCATGCTACGATTTATTTCGGATTTAATGTACTCGAAATAGACGCCCGTATCGGAATCACTGCGCACTTACAATAACCCTAGCAATATAGATATAATGTTTTTTTCGGAGGGAAAACTTTGATTTATTTACATAACTGTCTTATGGAGGCATTCAAGATCTGTTGAAGGAAGCTGAGTATTGAAAGGAGAAATTTCAAAACCAGCTTTTGTTCGAGTCGACATCTCGGAATCAAAGCATGTTTGGGATTTGCTTTTAACTCAACATACGCATTGCTGCGATGCGTATGTTAATTAAATATTGGTTTGAATATTTAGTTCGTGAAAACATTAGTTTGTGACAAACATGGCCTATCTAGATATATTTTTTGAGGTGCATCCTTTGAAGAAGGTTTTAAAAACAAATATGACGTTTGCATTGCTTTGAAGAAAAAGCCTGTTTTCTGTAAAACGGTGAACAAAAAGTCATTAAGTGATGGACATCATGCTCATTGTAGGGCGTATAGGATTGAATCCGGGTCGAAGAAAATGTTTCGATAATCCAAAAAACAAAAAAAAAAATTTCACAAACTTTTTTTAATAACTTTTTTCAGCTTCAATGTAATGACACACATAGGTCAGTTATTTCGGGCTACAATTTGGTATTTCTTGGGAAATTTAGGGCCTTAAAAAGCCTGTAAAAGCCAAGAAGCAGCAAAGAACCGCCGAACTTGCTCTTCTTTGGTCAGAATCTGGGTATATTGGCCCTAATTTGCCAAATAAGTGCACAAGTGTCAGAGCAAGGCTTCACCTCTGGCTGTCTGTTTTCATCGTGCAAATTTGGGCTTAAATTGTCAAACAAGTGCCCGATTATTCTGAACCTCTGGTAGTTTTGCTGTCATCTTGCATATTTCGCTCAAATCAGGCACATTAGCAATCATGTGGCGACACAGAGAAAGTCATAGAAACACCAAGGAAAAGCACCCTAGCACTAACGAACGCTTTGAGGCAAACTCCATAGGCCCACGTTAGGCACCTAGGATCTCCAAGCTTGTGCCAAATTAGACATTTCTCTTGCGTGATACATAGGGACTACTTTGAATATATTTGTTTTTCTTTTTCTTCATAACAAAGTAAATTTGCCCTGCTGCTCTGCTGAAATTTGTACGTACGTTGGACATTTACGTTGTAAAAGATTACAGTGGCGAGAAAAGAAATGTCGGTTGGAAAGCGTTGTATTAAAATTATTACATTACAAAACTAAAATGAACGCTCTCCCAGCACTTCGTTCAGTTGACTGGCCATTATCGTGTTAGTTTCATTACACAGACGGTTTATTTTCTGAACCTGATAGTAAAGTGCCTTGCTAAGCAAGTGGTTAAAACAACTTCCTTTATAAAAAAAAGAAAATTTGTGCAAGCAGCTCACTGAAGTTGAAACAATCTGTAGGAACCCAGTTCATCAGGCAAGCATAAAAACAAGGGCAGGCAGCGCTTGCAGTAATGTGCAAGTCAAGCAGGAACAATCACCGGTTGGATACGGGGAATAACGTAAGGTCAAGCGAAATAGTAGCACTTGGGAAAGCATTCTAAAGCTCAACATAAAACATAGCCGTCGAGAAGAGCGTCGTTCATGCACCGGGAAATCTCTGGTGTTGAGTGTATTGCATGAAGACAAGCTGTAGCCTTGCGATGTGTGGATACAGGTGCGTATTATTGCGCTTGAAGAACAAAGAATGCAGAACCAGATGACTTTTCACAAAACCTATCTGAGACACAGATAGATAGCAAGACTGATCTAGAGGAGAATAAGAGATTGATCGCGAGTAGGGTATGCAAGGCATTGTCCTTTTAAAACTTGCACTAAATACAATTGATTACTCGCGCTACGAGCATCTCACTTTAAAAGTGTTTTGTATGTAGCGCTAAATGGACGTAACTTTGAGGTTACGTCCTTGTTTAGTTAGATCAAGAAGGAAATGGTATGTTCCATGGTGCTGAATAGCGGGGCTCAAAAAACGTTTAGTCAATAAAAACTTCAACATGCGGCCATGTGTGTGTGTGTGTGTGTCGGGGGGGGGGCACACACACAAACACCCTTCTTCTTTTCACGTTACCGTAATTCAAAGAATGACATTAATTAGCGAGAGTTGGTGTTTTTTCGCTCTTAGCCTCTCGTAAAATTATCGTTTCGATGCTTCGGTAACATACCACGTGACCTCAAGGGGCTGGTATTGAATTTACAACTTTTACGCTTTATTCTCCTGGTGGTTCCAAATCTCTATTTTGCCGTTGTAACGTATTGTTAAAAAATTTGCTTTTTACGAACGCACCCAATTGAATTGTACAACGTCAACAGAGAGTAATGTATCTTTGGTTAAGGAAAGGATATATTTTACCAGAATTTGCGATGTCACTTAAATCTCACTGTTTGCGCGGGAAAGGCTCAGTGAAAGATAAAAAAAAAACATTTGAGCGTCTTAGTGCATTTATATTTTTCGCATTTCGTAAATGCCTGAAGAGTTTACTTCAACCGCTAACTAAACCAAAACATACCACCGTCATTTTCAGCGACCACAGTTGGCAATCGCAGGGCAATGCACGTTCCTGGCAAGATTAAAAAGATTGAAATATGTTGTGCAGACTTAAAAAAGGGGTCCGGGTGGGACAGGGTAACTTCACAGCTCAAGCAAATGAGGTGGAAAGGAAGGGAGGCAAGCGGATACAGCCTAGAAATTCGAGTTAGGAGGGAAGCACTGTCTGAACAGCACGAGGCCACCATCTTACCCGCCGCAGGCACTTCTAATGACGCACTCGAAACGAATGGCCACGGGTGAACCGTTGACCGAGTGGAGCCTGGCAAGTAAGATGGTGTGGGAGTAGGTGAGGTATCTCTGGGGACACCGTGCCGTTTGCGCCAATGTCTTAACCTCCATCCCTTCTACGAAGCACCTGTTTCTACATTTTTAAAGAGTCAATTAAATGTAAGAAGAACACAGTGCAGTGTTCAAACAAGAAAATGTGGTCACTTACGAACGCAGACGAACGGGAGCTTGGCCTCACAGTTGTAGTTTTTCAAGATGAACGTGCCGCCGTTTCGCAGCAGTGCGGCGCACTTGTCCTTGTCGCTAGAAGTCAAGATGGAAGGCATGGAGAAACGTCAATGTGCTTCCAGTGCAATGACTGCGTCAAAGCGAGTTGTCAATAAAGTTATCTCAATAAACGCTGAGAAAAACTGAACTAGCAAGAGTTGTAATTGATTCACTAATGTGGTTCTTTTCAACGGGTACCATCCCAATAAACTACGCCGGGATACCGGTAAACAAACTTATGGTTACAGTTTGTAATTTGCGTATTGGGTGTATATAGTGCTCACTAAATATAGTATCGTTTGGACTAAATCTAATGGCGAGAATAAGCATTTTCGTTTCATTTCTTGCCACCATTTATGCCTCTCTAATCTAGCAGTCTTTAAAACAGAGAGTAAATGTGGTCCCAGCCTTAAAATGAGGTGTGGATTTTTTTCTTTATGCGTTAAGATATTGTGTAACTTTTGTTTTAGTATCTAAATTATTTTCAGATTAAATTTATATAGTTTTAGCTTAGCCTTTGTTGACTAACATACAAATGTCCCTTTTATAGCATGAATCGCGGTGCCACTCGCGTCCGTGCGATCCTCATGCCTACTCTGAAATTCCCCAGCAGTGCCAGAACTGCACTTAGCGATCGCGAGCTACTTTCGTTCTTCGTTTTCAACTTCATACTCTCGTCCATTCAGTAGGGCTGCAAAGTCGATCTGCCGTCGATTTGCAACGGATACGCAGCTCTTTAGTTTGAATCATGTGACTGTTCTCTCCCGCGCGACTGTCACACCTCATCTACGAATCGACAGCAGCGGCGCAATTTTACTCCGGAATCGTGACATACGTTCCACTTTGGACAGCAGACTCTCGGCCGCTGGGGAAGAATACAGGGCGGCGCTGCGGTCGACTTACAGATGATACTCCGCTTTGTAAACTAAATCTCCGCTCTACTTTTCCCGCGTCATCTCCCCTCCTGGTTCAGCATCCTGTACATCGTTTCAACTTGAGTCCAGACTCAGATGACGCTACGAGCAATGGAACCAATCAAGCAGCGTCAAAAGCGTGCTACTTTATTATTTTCTGTTTTTGATTATTTCAGCGATGATAGAACACGTAGATGATCATGACGAGCACCATGATGGCGCGCACTTGGTGCTGTCTGATTGGTCCTATTAGCTCGTAGTGTCGGCGGCGTATGGATTTAAGGTGAAACGAAGTATAGCAGCCTACACGCATAGAAAACAAAATAAACTCCAGCCAATCCTTAAACACTAGGGGCCCAACCTTTCATAACTGACTTGGTTCATCTTCAGAGGGGCTATGCGGAACACAAGTTCGACTGCTTCTTTTGCAGGTGTTGTGGTGACGTCAGAACGCCGAGCTCTCATTGGCTTTGAATGAAAAATAGTGGGTAGACCTCAGTGAAAGCATGCCTTGAGGTCTACCCACAATACTTCAATCGGAGCCAATCAGAGCTCGGCGTTCTGACGTCACCACAACACTTGCGAAAGAAGCAGACGAACTTGGGCTCGGCGTAATTGTTTGAAGAGCAGCAACCTCTTCTACGGTAGTGGGGATGTTTTCTTTTTCTTCGTTATGTGGCGTAGAGCGCTTATGTATACGGATGATAAACCGCCGAGGAGTTTATTGATGTTGCCCGGTGTATTTTGAATGTGCCATGATTCAATAAAACGTCTCTGCCGTGGGTTACTCTCGACGTTAACGATGCACGTGTTCTCGAAATCGATTCGATGATCTTTGTCGCCAGAATGTTTCGCAACAGCGCTGCGCTCGTGGTCGAATCTGCGCACGTTGTTTTTGTGTTGAAGAAGCCTTTCGTGAAAATTCTTTGCTTTGCCGATGCATGTTTCGCCGATGCCGATGTTTCGCCGACGCCGATGTTTCGCCGATGTTTCGCCGACGCGGTGTTCAGTTCTCTAGCTCTATATTTTCTTGCATATTCACGGGTACAGAACAAACACGACCTGAATTATGTGTTACAAGCATTATAACTCGGGGAGAGTAGGTAAACGCAGTTCTGCTGGAGGCGCCGTTGCTGCTGTGGCCAGGCCTAACTCTTCTTATGAGTCGAACATTCTTTATGTGCATCGTTGTTTTTGAGTAGCGCATGGTTTAAAGAAAAGAAAAAGTGCTTGTCACTTGTCTATAAAGGTAGCCTCATTGGACAGCGGCAAAACTCGTATTAACCGTGATTCAAAATTTAAAAAAAAAAGATCATGATTTTTTTTTTTATTCTGTGAAGGTTGATGACCAGCGAAGCGGTTTAGTACACGACTAATACCCGTCACAAGCAGCGGAGGAAACTAGACACGCGCGAGGGGACCACCACCCGGCGAAAAGTAGACACTTGCCACGGGATGGCAACCTCGGGAGAGCGGAAGGAAAGGAACTCGGAACACAAGCGCTGGGGACGACGACAGAGGGCGGTGCGAACGTAGACATGGCTAAAGCCCCTTGATGAAGGCCTTTTTTACAAGTACCGCCAACCATTGTTGTGGAAACGCGCGAGACACGTGCCGCGAGCGCGTGCTCTGCCGCCATTCGCTTCCAAGGGCCGCTCATTTCAGTGCTGCACCGCCATTTGCTTCCAAGGGCCGCTCGAGACATGGGCCTCGTGCACTCGCGCATTTGGCGCTACTTGGAAGACACGTAAACACATCGAGGGGCTTTAGACATGGCCGACGCGGGTCGGACCGCGGCAAATCTTTGAGAATTTTTTTATTATCTACCTGAGAGTCTACCGATCTTCAAAATGGTGCCGATTGATAACTAATATATTGAATAGACCTATTGCTCAATTACCCAAGCATCAAGGAAAATGCAGGGAATTGTGTTCCACGCGGCGCACGTGCCGGCGACTGCAGCAGTAACTGTTCTAAAGCAAAAGCCTAATACAAGTAGCGTCTTGCACGCGCGGTCGTCAACGCTTTATTTTGAATATTCAGTTCAAATCTTTTATTAGGGGAAGGCGTGCGCGGGCGGCGTGCGCGAGAGTTTAGTTTTGGGTGAGGCACACGAAATATCCGCGGAACCCTAGCCATAAACAGCTTCGCTGTAAAAAGAAGGGAATGAGGGAAGGTGCTCAGTCATGGATTTCTTGTTTTTTAGGGTAGATTGGGGAAACTATTTTCCCGAGAAGAGGTGAAAGTAGAAGAACATTCTCCATATATGATGATGATCACAGAAAGGTCGATTGCAGATGCGACTGGAAGGCGCCGCGCGTTGGAACTCGTGCGTTTCGGAGGTACACAAGTAGATCTAAAAACAAGTTTGGTACTTCACCAAGCTGTGGCGGAAAAGAGAATATCCTTCTTTTACGTCAAATATATAGTGGCGCTTTGTTGATACGAATAACACAGACTGCAATTTTATGGTAGTGGGGACCGATCAGGAGAACGAGTTCACGTTTCTTAGTAATATTGCGGCTATTAAAATTTGGTGTACTCGACTTGCATTTATTTCAAACGAGGGTGAGAGTGCGTGCGCAGTTTTCGTGAACAATGAAGTTAACCAGGCTCGCGTTTTGTGAGTCAACCCAGACACGGATGATGGAGGATTCCCCGTGTGCAATGCTTGTGTGCGTGGGGAATGCATTATAATTAATTTATCCAGTCAGTGTGATCACTCGAGACAGGCATTGGCGATGACGATCGCTTCTATGAAAGTTTTCAAATTTGGTGCTATGATTTTTTTTTACCAACATATGTGCATGTTTGTTTTTCAGCCAGAAGCGACCTTCGAAATGTAGCTGGGACACAATGTTGGAAACACAAAAGGGTCTTTTCTACAATGTACTAAGGTTGGGTGATGTATTGTTACCTCAAATAAATAGCGACAATCTCACGTGTAATCGGATATGCATTCGCGGATACCGATTCACTAAAAGCACGTAAAACTTAGAATACACTATCCGAAGAGAGTTTTAGGCACTGCACTACGTACCTGTCGTTTTTTAGAAGCCAGTACATGACGGCCTCGCTGTAATGCACGGCGAAACCGAGGTCATCAATGAGATTATCGTAGTGAGTGTTGCTGAGTGATTGGTTCAGGAGTTTCAAGCCCAGGTCACTACACTTGGACACGCTCTCCCTATAAGTGAGAGGTGCCACATTCAGGCAGGCATGGACGTTCAGTCCCGGACTTCGTTGTACGTTATCTGAAAATAATGGGTCAAATGATAGTATCAATTCGTAGACCATGTTGTTGGCATACGCAGACAATTCTTTAAATCTGGCTTCTGCGAACGTGCAGTACCTAATGTGGTCAAATTCGGGCTTGTTTGAAAACATCATATTGGTCTATTAACGGCAGGATTAGTTGAGATGCATTTGTTCTCAGTATTTTTTGTGTTAAATACAATAGTATTTCTTTCGGCAGCAGCACCCCCCCCCCTCCCCCCAGAAACTTCTGCAGTTATACTAAACAAATGCGCGGAAAGCCTTAACTGGATGAAATTAAAAGACAGAACAAATTTCCGAAAGTCTTCAAAAGAGAATTTAAGCGAAGTTACCAAAAGCCTAATGCTCAACAACTGTGCCAACGCGCTTTTTTTTTATTCCCTGCGCCAACGTCGAGGCTTGTGAAGCGGAAGACAATGGCGCCTGCATGGCTGAGGGGAAACGTTTCTACGTACTTCTAGAAAATTCGCGATTACTCTTACCCCTAAAAGATCGAGGCTCGCACATTCTGGGCCGAATGTTGGAGACACCGAGTGTAGTATATATGGAGCCCTGGGTGGCCTTGCCAGCTTAATCTCGCGCTAGTCAGTCCGCTGTCACGCCGACACATGGACGCTCGCTGCTGTCACCTTCGACACGCGCTGCTGCGTTACCGACGCCCGTCCTTTCTTTTGGTTCTGGCACAAGCTCGCCGATTAACTTTTATTTTCAGTTTCACAATTTTCAAACCTTTTCCACCCGCGAGAATAGTCAATACGATAACATTTCGTTCACCAAGCGGTAGCTCTGGATTGTACTCCAGCTGCACGAGGGCTCGTGCAGCCGAGACACAATCAAACGCAAGGAGCTTGCACAAGTGTTCGCCATTATGCAGGGATTGCACCGCTTCTAACAAAAGGCACACTTTCGAAAGGAGACAATTACATAGTACTTATAAAAAAATATTCGTCATAAATTGCAGGAACGAACTGGAATATGTGGAGAGAGAGGAGACATCTTGGGCCTGATTTGTAGTAGTGACAAGTATAGAGTAATGGAGCGTAACGACAAAAAGAAGGAACGCTCGAAAAAAAAGAAAAAATATCGGAATAGACTATGTAGAAAAATACAAATATCTCAAGCTATGACTCACTAAGTGAAGAAAATATCTAGAGGAGTATGAAGTCAACAGGAAAGGGAAATTAAATTAAGTTAATATGAAACTGAAGGTACTGTAGAATTGTACCAGATATGAAGTGGTCAGGCGTAAATAGAAAGAAGTGATTGCGCCTGGACTATCATTTGGCAAAGGTGCACTGCGCACCAATTCAGAGATTTAATCAGGATTCGAAGTTTCACAAATGTGCGTGGCTGGATTGGCACTGGGAGTGTACGGGAACACTCTTAGTGAGAGGGTACAAGGGGACATGAGCTGGTCCTCCCTTGAGGGAAGAAGGGCAGTTAGTAAATTGAAATTTAAACAAAATTTAACTGAAATGAAAGATATACGAGGTTGGCACCAAAAGTATAGAAGCAATGATACATAAACTCTTTCTACATACAAATTGAGAAAACGAACGCGAAAGCTTACATTTAGACATTTACTCCTTAGTAATGGGTCTCATAAGAATATTTCAGTATAAAAAAGGGTAAAAGAAGCAGAAAGAAAAATGTATGATGAAGAATACAGCATAGACCAGCTTCAGCAATGTACCATTCAAAAGAAAACAGGATATAAAAAAGAGCAGGCGTTTGGTACTTCACAAAGTAGCTCTTTACTGTTCGATTTGAGAACGGGAGCGTCAAGGACAAAGTCATATAAAATCAGATTATATTTCAATATATAGACACATACGTGTTTTAAACAATAATGACACAGACGCTAGAACATTTGGTTTTGAAGTGCAGTGGGCGTCGTCCCGCCCTCTTTGAAGGGGTAAAGGATATGGCGGGAGCCGTTGATTTTGTTGGCGATGACAGAATAATAAAGAAACAAATGACTGAACTTTAACAAAGAAGGTTTGAAGATTGAAGAAATTCTAGAGAAGCGTGATAATATCAAACATTTGTGGCGTAAATGATTGAACATGACATTTACAGCAAAATTTAAAGTGGAGGCGTGTAAATGTTTGTAGGCTAGGCAGCGCAAGCTATATCCCGATGCAATATCGTAGCCGATACCATCCATCAATAATATGATAAAAGACGGAAGTGCTCTTGTCGTTTTTGCATTGCCTCAAAATAAAAAAAGATGAAAAACGTTTACAATTTCTTGCAATGCCGAATTAGAGTGCAGCTCTTGAGAAGGAGGAGGGGAGGGTATGGAGAGGGGGGTTATCGTTTCCTCCTCCTTCTCCTCTTCTCCTCCTCTTCTTTTCCTTCTTCCTCCTCTCCTCCTCCCCCTTCCTCTCTCATCTCTCGTGACGACAAACGTGAAATCACAAAGGTCACTCGTGAAGGTCATTGTGAAGGTCGCGCCCTTCGTCATGACATTCACGAGCGACCTTCGTGACGTCAATCGTGACCCTCGTGACGTCACACGTGACGTCACGTGCAACGTCATTATGAGAAACGTCCCATAATGCAACGCACGGTTACACCGACGGCGACGCCGACGCCGACGCCGCTCAAGCCGGTAACGGGCGCCTAAGAGCTGCACTCTAAATTAGTGGAGTGAAGAGAACATTGCTGAACAGAAGCGGTGGCACACTGAAGCTTAGCATTTTCGTTACGTCAATGAGATGCCAGAAAAAAAAAAGAGCAGCCTTCGGCAGGGGACAGATGAGCAACGACAAGGGCTGAGTGAGGAAACAAGGTTTTTGGCAATTCAATGAGCGCAATGTTGTCAAGACTGACAAATTATGAGGCAGCGAATAACTGGAGAAACTGAACGTTTAATAAGGCACACTTGCTCCCAAAACAAACTAGAAGAAGGTTAGCGTCGCAGGTGTCGATGTCAGCGAAACAGCAGGATCGAGCATTGGGGCGAGACTGGCTCCGGCTCGCCACGCGGAGCCCTTACTACACACGTGGGCTTCAGGGTCAATCGGCGTAGAAGGTCAGCGCGTAGAACAATCGGGCCTCGAATAAGCAACAGGGTTCTCGAATTCACAAGAACGCGATATTTACAGAAACAAATTAAAAGTGCGTCCGCTCCCAGGTATCGAATCTCGGCCCTTTGCGTGGGAGCCGAGCACGATAACCATTCGGCCACGGGCGCGTTTGCTCGGGCACGCGCGTGGCAATATGGCCTTCATAAAAGAGAGCTCAAAATGATATCGCATTTCAGAATAGAGTGCAGCAAAGCGCCGCTAAAACAGCTCTTTATTTTAAATATATTGGAACGTTAGGCGTTATTAAAACCTAAATACGTATCGACCCGAACAACAACAACAAAAAACAACAACAACAACAACAACAACAACAACAACAACAATGGGGCTAAAACTTTGTGCCCCATCGCGCCACTCAGTGGTTACCAGCGGAAGCTCATCCGCTCTTTACCCATTTTACAAGCTACCGCGACATGCCAAGAAGATTCGCTATCTTGATTCGCGTCTCTCTTTACCTGAACGGGCGATTTGTTTTGTTACACGTGCGGCAGTTTCCTCGAACTGTTCTTTTACGCGGTATTCACTCGACGAAGACATCCAGCAGATCTCTCCGCGGAAAGCGTATCACGCGGCGAATACGGCCTGCATGTGCTTTGCGTCGCGGTACCGCCACGGCTGTGGCGGAGCAGAGGAGGGGGTGTACAAGCAATCTCTGGTTTGCCGGCGGATCAGTCCACTTTTGGCAATATAATATTTTGTCGTTTAAAGCTTTGCTGGTAAAAGTACACACACACACACATATATATGGGTGGTTTCATCTCAAATCGTGCAGGCAAAAAGGGTCGAATTTTCAATTTCGCTGAAAAAATATATGGTATTGCGTCGTCTCTAAAAACGCAGTAGCCACAAACTGCAAGTTCGTCGGATTTTTTCTTCTCGGCTTACGAATTTTAAGAAAGGCCGCGGCGGAAAGCAGTGTTTTTCGCATCTGTCGTGGGTCGGATGTTTCGCTCGATCTCCTGCCGTGGATTTTCAGTCCACATTATATTAACTTTTTTCAAGCACTTTGTGAGAATATTTAAAACCCTCTTATACCATGAAATAATTTTAGGCGTTTTCCTTTTTTTTTTCCGTAAAAATGTCAAAAACGCCCCCTCGGTTAATTTTGACGAAGTTTGAGAATTAAATACTGGCGATCTACTTGGGTTACATCAATATTTTTTATGTCTACGGAGAGCCCAAAACACGCTCTATATATATATTATAAAATGACTTGGTTGTATGAAATATCCTTTGTGGGACGTTTACGTTAATGTTAGGGGAAAACCAAAAAGTACCAATTTTAAAATCGATTTTCTAAAAAAAAAACATTTTTTTTATTTTTTTATTTTTTGTTAAAATGCAGATACGATTGTTGTCTACTCGAAAATCAAGTCGAGAAAGTGTATATTTTGGTTGTATGTTCTATATTTAAATCTCAATATTGGAAAAAGACATCGTTTTGCAAGACCGTAGTCAGACATAGCGACCCGTGCGTTTCTATGAATTGTGAATAAGTTTTCTTGAATTTTCGTCTGCGTTTTTTAATCAGTTATAAACGTATTTTGTGGTATTAAATAGTTATTTATGTTTTCATAAGAGCAGGAAACCACGAGAAAAATATCTAACCAAATCAGCAGGCCTAGTAGACATTCAATATCGGAGTGGCACAGAAGTTGTATTGTTTCCATTTATAAAAGTTTCACTGTAAACTAGCATGACTAGCTATTATCTGTCATATTACTAAGACATAGAAAGTAACCACAACGTTGATATATCATATACAATTCTTTCCGAAACCAACCGCTAGGGTTTGTTCACCGCACATCGCACAGAACACCAGGGAATAGACTTTCACTTCCGTAATGCACAACAGTGATGATAATGAAACGGTCCGAAACACACGG